CCCCCCCCCCCCCCCCGCAGTCAGCTGGTCGTTGTAGTTGACGGGTACTCTCGCTGCTTATTCTGGAGAGAGCGAACGTGCGTTTGGTGTTTTTGGTCGGCCGCCATTGGGGCTAGAGAGAGAGAAGCCGCGCGGGCAGGTTGAGGGAAGCGGCAATGGCATGCTGCGACTCGGGTATTGGACAGCGGTGAAAACTAGGACAGTAGTACATGTCAGGTGCGGGCCGAAAAACGTGCTCTCCGCGTATTGTCGAGAATATCTCACCTCCAAGTGCCGTGTTGTGCAGTCTACCTCCCCCGGTATATCTGACATCGGTTTTCGCTGCCTGGGCGTGCTTCCTCTGTGTCTGACCGTCAAGTAAAAACCTTGATCTGACACCGATTTTGGTTGCCTACGACATGCTCTCATTCTGACTGTCGACGTCAACATCTTGAACTACACCGGATTCCGCAGCTGCGTGGTGCCAAGAGGAAGCTCGATGTTGGCAGCGGGTCCGCTTTCGACTTCGACCTCAACACGAAGAAGGGGGGGGCGGCGAAGGGAAAGACCGCTGAAGGAAAGGCGACTGGGACGGCGGAGAGCCGGTAGGTCGACTTGTTGTGTTGTCGTTGTTGCTGTTGCTGTTGCTGTTGCTGTTGCTGTTGCTGTTGCTGTTGTGGCAGTTGCTTGGTGTTGTGGTCGGTGGTGGTGTTGTCGTTGAAGTAGCGACCGTCCTGTGCATGCCTGCTACTTTCCCGTTTGCACAGTCGTGGAGTTCTTGGACTTATCCTCCAAAAAAACAAAAACTTTTTTAATTCAAGAACACAGCCCAGACTATTTAGTTTGTTTCTATGGATTTGAACCCCTTCAGTGGCTAGTTCGAGTGTGACCACGGAAGGCATATGCGTCAGTCGGACCAGCGCAGATGTTAGAAGGTGCTGAGGAGGGGCCGGAACGGTTTTTTTTAATGTGAAGACAACAACGCCCATGATGTTGATATCGCTGCTGCTGCTTCGGGTTGCTGCTGCTGCTGCTGCTGCTGCTGCTGCCGACCATCCCTTTTCGACAGGTACAAGTTCACGGAGTTCGATCCAAACAAGCGGCTCAAGAGGGGCGCCAAGAAGGGATCAGCCAAGTTCAAGTCCAAGTCCAAGTTCAAGCGAAAGAAGTAATTAGTCTCAAGTATTGGTGCTGAGACAGAGCTGACACAAAAGTAGACCAGATGAGGTTGAAGCGAAAAAGTGAGATGATATCGGTACTGACACAGCCGTGTAGATTAATTCAATCAAGACAACAAAAATATCTCGGTGCTGATAGTCGATGACGGATACAAGCGAAAGATGTGAACAGTCTTCGTGCGGGCAGATGGACGTCGCGTGCTCGTCTACCTGCTTTGCCCATGACGGGTTTCATTTATGAATCAGGAGGGAGGGTGTGTGTATGTTCACTGTGAGCTCGTTTTGACGCGGGCATACCAGAATCGACATGGCATCTGCCGAGTCGAGTGCGATCGTTTTCCTCGGGCGAAGGGAGACGGACTATGGGTTTGCGAGACTTGTATTGATATTCATTCTGTGGTTCGCTGTTTCGCTGAGGCTTACTCAGTAGTTGTAGTGATTTGGGTGATTGTTGCCGCTGGCGCTGCGGATAATTTGCTGGCTTCCCTTGCTGACTTGGGGTAGGTTTGCCGCAAGACAGCCAGCCTCGAGTGGCCGGGCAATTCACGAGTGACCAAGCTGTTCACAAACGCCAACATCGACTGCCTGCTGGTTAGCAGCAACATGCCGAGAATAACATTGCGATTCTCCTTGACAACGATTTCCCAATTTTCCTTCAACGCGTTGTTAAAAGCCATGTGTATCTAAGACTCACACCATCCGTATGTCGCAAAAAAAGTTACTCTTTCCGTACCACAAGAAGTGTTGGTGGGATTGGAAACGGAAAATGGGCGGGGGGGACATCAATCTACTTCCGTGCCACCGTCATGAAATATGCTATCCAATTGATTTTTCTCGCATGTATGATGCGCTGAGAGTGAACCAACTTGCGTCACAAGTCTCAACTCATTTTAGCCTGGTTCCTAACAACATGCACCGTGAGACATATGATGAACAGACTTGTGAACACGAAAAATATTGTTCACGCCTAGCTGTTAGCCCTCACACGCCGAGCAACAATGTTCACACTTCCATCACAGAAATAAATTCGCAGTTCTTCGCCGGGTCTCCCCAACCATCCGAAGGCCACACGAATCGACCAATAATTTCCACTGAAACGAAAAATATATTCCAGTGTTGTACTCCCCCGGCAGTCTTTTGCAGTCGGGATAAAAGCTTTCGCCAGCATTCATGTCGGTTGCCAATTTGTTTGAACACCAATCCCTACTGCAATAAATCCCCGTTGAAGCTCGCTTGATGACACATCTCAAATTCCCTCAAACCACAACGTAGTCTGACAGATAAAACCCGATCCACATTCGAAACCAAAACCGCGACCTCCCGACGACTCAATGGCCTCATGGCGCAGCCAACCTCGGTAAAACCCGCATGATAGGACAAAAAACCCGCGGCGGATTCCGGGAAAAACGAGCGCAAACAAAAAGCGAGGTATTCGCACGGGGCAAATAAGTGCGTCGTTCTATCTGCACACCACCTGGAAAAAAAAAGAAGGAAATAAATGACTCGCCGCACACTGTTCCTTTTTTACGTGCCGCACGACGGGAGGAATAATTTCTCAAGCACAAGCATCAATCACGTGATCCACATCGCATTCCAGCAAGAAAAAAAAAAAAAAACTGTCACCACAAAACGAAAAATTGCAAGATTGATTGCACACGCACTTCGGCTCCGCCAAAGCAACCCGCCCCATCCTTGCCGCAGAAACGGCCTTCCTCAGCATAGCCACCCTTGTGGCTGACTGTGTCTGGTTGCGTGACTGCATTCACTATTCAAGCCCTCCGTGGCGCGAGACGAAATTTCTTGCTGCGAGCATGCAAAAACAAGCACTCCGTCTGCACCAACAAAGACGCGTACTACCCGCGTTACCCACCTCACCCATAAAACAGAACATCCAACTCACCACTACCTCCCCCAAAAATGAAGTAATTATGCTCTTTTACCCGTGAGACTACGATCAACCTGGGTCATGTACATCAACCCATGTGGACCTCGGCGGGGATGCCCTGCGTTCGAACATTCGACAGCAAGGGGGAGGGCGGCGGGAACAAGGAATTAGTACAAGTATATACGAGGGGCGTAAGGGTGAAGGGCGGCCAGCGCAGCAGGCGTTGGTGCGATTGCTGCATGCACACCAGCAGCAGTAGTGCTTTCACGTGTGGCGTACGCTGAAGATGGTGCCATGCTACGACTGTCGAAGGCACTACCGTAACGACCGAGTGCTACACAAATCTTACACATTCCCCAAAACACGCAATGAAAACAAAATCACACAAAACGAAGTGGACGAATCCTGGACATTGCGTTCAACGCGATATCCCGGGATTGATAACACACACTAAATAACGATGCACACAAGCGGAGAGGAAACAAAAACAAAAAAAACAGACAAGCTGGACAAGGCAGCACAAAGTTCGACAGCCATAGCACTGCGCAAGATATAGGAGAGAAAACATTCACAATCCCTACCACGACGTGGGTCAAAAGAGTGAAATGAAGCATGTTTGTGATGCAGCAGTACCTGTCTTCCCATGTTCCTCAAGTGAGCGATGTGGGCGGACATGGCCTCAGTGAACGTGTCGAGGTGGATGTACTCCACGCCGTGCTCCTTGCAAACCTCCTTGATGATGGGAGCGATAGCCGGGTAGTGGTACTGGAGTATATTTTTTTAATTTCAAGGCAGAAAACACGAGCACAAGGGGAAAGAAATGACGTGTCGCGCACATCATGTTCCGCAGCAACGGGTCCACAATCAAGAAAAATCGTGCATCAAGGTCGGGTCGAGGTTCGATTACTGAGGAATTTCGGCGCCACCAGCACCGGGTGTTATATTGTGGGATTCACAGCTGAGCTAGCCGTTCTTCTTACCCTTGCTCCTTCTAGAGAAAATACAAGCTTCGTTTCTCATGGTCACAAATTTGCCTCAACTGTGTACGTAGCTCCATGCGTGTTCGTCGGAAAAAGACAACTTCTTGGACTGGTTGTGTTCGACCTGGGCGAGATATACATGCCAGCAGCTTTCCTACCCTACCCTACCCTACCCTACCCTAAACCGCTTGACCAACGACAGTAGGCAAAGTAAGCATACGTTTCGCCAAACGCACGACGCAACTGTTTCCAAAAGTGTTTCATGCTACGACGTTTATCGTTCGGGGGG